TCTTTTAAAGTCTTTGCCTTACATTTTCTTGAATGAAGTTCATCATTGGGTATAACTATAGTTTATCCAAAGCCCTGTGTTATAACTGACATTGATTCAGTCATCAAGAAAAAAGGGAAAGGATAATCTTCTAAGAAATCTTTCCATAGGACATGAACTGTTAATTCTTCTACCAAACTGTGGTCCCTTGAAAAGCCATCGCTGTTTGTGGGGTTACTCTCAGGTGGTAGAAGCAGTAGGTATTGGCTTATGCCTGAGGCTGGTTCCAAAGCATGTATGTATCAGAAGGAGAACTGGGCATCTCCTGAATAAGGTGGCTGGCCAGATGGGCTCAGGCAGCAGCCTGGCTTTTGTCTGTTCTAATAAGCCAGGACCTACTTTGCAACCATAACAGCAGTGTCTTGGCTCCCATATGGTGCTTTGACATGCTTGTGATCAGACCTTTTCCTCCTTCGTGGCTTGAGCCTTGGGCATATCCATATATTATATATCCTGGGTTTTCAGTGACCCATGGAGGAAGGATGATCCTGAAGTAGAAAGCATGGCTGGGGCATGAAGGACAGGTAGAATGAATGTTCCTTTATACCATGACATCTTCAAAGTAGGCTACGTCGATGAAATGCTTCACTTCTTGGTTGTCATCCTCTTACTCCAAGTGTCATCATTTGCTTGGCTGAGCACTTCTCTCTTGCACCCTCTCTCACCTCTTATAATTCACAGTGTGAATGATCTTGAGGCTTTTTGCTTTATTATCTATGAAGACCCTAACCCTACTGTTTAAATCAAGGAAGCTGAAGGAGAAAATCTCTAAGACTCAAATTCTGTGATTCTACTTGACTTTTATTTACCCTCAGGAAAATCTACTGCTCTTACTCTCTTTCACCCCCTTCCTTCTGATGGAAAATATTAAATTAGTAATAGACTTCATGTGGCCATTTCTGCCCTATCTTTTCCTTTTGGAATTCTTTCTTAGTCCCTGTTGATTGTGTGCTGTTCTCTGTTGGCCAGAGGAGGGTGGCTTAGAACCCAAGCCTGTCTTTACCCATTTCTGGATCTCAGTATCCTTATCTTCAAAATGAAGGGATTGAAGCAAATGATTTGCAGCTCTAACATAACATGGTCCTGGTAGTTCCATGGAGCAGAAGCTCATAGGACTTCAAGTCTAAAAATCTAGATTTGTGTGTGTGTGTGTGCGCGCGCGCGTGTGCGTGAGAGAGAGAGAGAGAGAGAGAGAGAGAGAGAGAGAGAGGGAGGGAGAGAGAGGGGGAGAGAGAGAGGAAGAGGGAGAGAGAGAGGGAGAGAGAGGAAGAGAGAGGGAGAGAGAGAGAGAAGGCTCAGGATCTCTGGAGTCTCTTCTTATAATGGCAGTAATCTTATCATGAGGGCCCCACTCTAATGACCTCATCTAGCCTGAATTACCTCCTAAAATACCCACCTTCAAATACAATCACATTGAGCATTAGGCTTCAACATACAAATTTGGGAGGGACACATTCAGTCCATATTACCTCCCAACTCATTCTACAAAACCAATATTACCTTGATACCAAAACTAGACAAAGATATTTTTAAGTAAAGATAAATACCCCTCATGAACATAAATGCAAAAATATAGTAAATTTTAATAGTAAAAAAGTAGTAAAAGAATTGAATCTAACAATGTATAAAAGAAGACAATACATCATGATCAAGTGGAGTTTACCACAGGCGTGCAAGATTGGTTTATCATTGAAAGGATCCATCAATGTAACACAACATACTAACAAACCAAAAAAAGAAGAAAATATCTGACAATTGCAGTCCAATACAGAAATGTATTTGACTAAATTCAACTTCCATTTCTGATTAAAAAAAAAAAAACTCTTAATAAAAACCAGGATTAGAAGGAAAATTCTGCAACCTGATAAAAGGCATCTATGAAAAACTGACAACAAATTTTTATGTATTATGATTTTGGTTCTGACTACAGGTCAGTATTCCATTACTAAAATTCATCCAACTGTTCACTTAAAATGGGTAGATTCTATTCTATATAAATGATATGTCAGTGAGGCTGGGGAGAAGTCAAGGAATAAAATCTCTTATGCAGAATATTCCTTTACGTTGAATGCTTCTAATTATTATCTGGTCAACACATATATTTCCATTGAAAGGGAATTCACAACCACAAGCAAAAAATAAAAACCTGTTTCACTTGAGAGAGAGAGGGAGGGAGAGAGAGGGAGGGAGAGAGAGGGAGGGAGGGAGAGAATTTTATAGGTGATGGAATCACAAGGCAGTAGTCAAACATCAGAAGTCTTTGCTTTGGGGCTGAATCGTGTCCCCCACCAAATTCATATGCTGAAGTCCTAACCCCTAGTACCTCAGAATGTGATTGTATTTGGAGATAGGGTCTTTACACAGATATTTAAGTGAAAATAAGTTCATTATGATGGGTCCTACTCCAATATAACTGGTGTCCTTATGAGAAGAGGAAATCTGGGTACAGGGATTTGTATAGGGGGAAGATGATGTGCAAACACAGGGAAAAGAAGGCCAATTCCAAAGCAAGGAAAGAGACTTGAAACAGATCCTTCCCTCCCAGGTCCCTGGAGGAACTGACCCTGCCAACACCTTGATCGTGGACTTCCAGCCTTCAGAAATGTGTGAAAATGTCTGTGGCACTTTATTATGGCAGCCCTATCACACTAATACATCTTTTATGTCTGATCCCAAAGTGCACACAAAAAAGTTCAGTGACCTCCTCTCATAGGTAAGCTCTCAGGCCTCATGGGCCTTTAGGCAAATACTGGGTGCCCTTTGGCCCGAGCTTGACTAAGAAATGCAGCCTCCAATGACACTGTAGGAAAGGAAATCTGGGAACTTTTATGACACAATTCACTCTTGCTGAGAATTTGAGGCTAATATTTAACTCTGGATATATATTGACATGGAAATTCTTATAAAATTCACACAAAAATTTAAAATGCATATAAAAGTCTTGATTTTTATTTTTTTATTATTTTAATTATTTTACTTGTTTTTTTGGTGGGGAGGGGAATTGTTTTATTTGCCTCTTTCATAATTTTTGTTCTTTGTTTCTTTTTTCATTCTTGCCACTGTCTTTCTTTGCACTTTCTTGGGCATGACATTTTCCTTTTCCATTTCTCCACGTTTATTAGTTTCTCCACATTTCTCCATTTCTCCTCCTTCTGTCACATGATCTCTCTAGCTCCAGTGGGCCTACTTTTCTTCATTTCCTCTATAGCATCTCCCACTTTCTTCTTGCTGTCTGCTTTTCTCTCATCCTCCTTGCCTCTGTCTTAGTCCTTCTCTCCTCCGTTTTCCTTTCTTGCCTGTGTTCAGTTTCTAGCTCCAGTCTCCCTCCTCTGCTCTTTCTTCTTTCCTTTCATCTGCTTGCTGACTTGCTTCTGTCCCCTCCTTCTGTTCCCCTCCTGGATGTTTCTTTGGCCCACCTTTCCTTCTCCTCTGAGACTTCTTTTTCTTGTTGGTGGATGGGGGCTGATACTGTAAACATCACAAAAATAATTGCATTGAGAACAGGTGGTTCCCTTGGTGTTCCGGGAGACAGAGCCTTTGAGTCAGCCCAGAACGCCTGGGCTCCATAGATGCAGAAGACATCATTGGTGCTGGAGAAGTGTCTGGACCTCAGTCACTAGACCTGATATTCCAGAACTTTGGGACTCATCTCTGACACCACCCACCCCCTCCCCAACTAGAAACTGAGAGGCACTGTGTCACCTGGAAAGAGAAAGAATTAACCTGCCTTCACCCGCTCAAGCACACCTTCCAGCCACATTCACCTAAAAGTTACTTCTGTGGCGCTTGCTTCCTGACTCATCCTCTGGCTACTGTGTTCTCTGTGAACCAGGTTGTGCCTAGTCCCTTTGCATCACTCAAGGTGGCTCCCTGGGGTCGCATCTCTGCTAAGCCCCCTGTTCCAGCCTCAGCCACAAATTAGGACCAGGAAGCAGCAAAGGGGTTATTATATACTTCTTGGTCTCTCATCCTGTGCTTTCTGCACGAAGCTAGTTTTGACTCCAAAGATTAAAACCTCAAGTTGTTTTTTTTGTGTGTGTCAACAGAGTCCCCAAGGAGACCTGAGAGCGCTTTACTTTCCTTATTCATCCTTCCTCATTTTCTTCACCTTCTCTTTAGTTCTCATTCTTTCTACTTAATCACTAAAATGTAGTCACTTATATTCATTTGTTCACTTGTTCATTCACTCATTCAACAAAAATGTATTAAGTTATCAATGTGCATCAGATGATTTATGTACTTTTGATGGCATAGATAGTACCTCTAAGGCTTGTTTAAAGTCTAGCTCTTAGTAAGAGACACCTGCAGATTTTGATCATTAGAAATATTTTGGTGTTCTTAGAGCCAAACAGAAGTTTCTATTTGTTTTTATGTTCTTTCTATTTTGTTTTTATTTTCTTTTATGTTTGCCACTGGATGTGAATTTCTATTAGTTCCCATTTTAGAGTGTTTTTATTTTTTCTTTGCACCTTTGCAGAATACCAGGACTTGAAAGGTCACATACTTTATTCATGCAGTTATGACAGAAGTTAACACTTGTCCAACAGTTACTTTGTGCAGGCATGTGAAAAGCATTGCATGCACATTAACGACCTGATGAGGTAGACAGTACCGTTATCCCAACTTTACTGATGAAACTAGGGCTTGAGAGGTTGCATTATTTCGCCAAGGGCTCTCTGCTGGTGATTGGCGAACCTAGGATGTCAGTTTTGTCTGTTACCAAAGCCCAAGTTTAATCACTCTTCTTCACCGTCTTCTGGTGATCAGGTGGTCCAGAGCAGTGGAAGGGAGAGTTTACAATGTGGAGTGATGTAAGGGATGGACCTCTCAGGTGAGAATGGAGCTTTTTTGACCTGTGAGCCAGGAGACTACGGGACCTAGTTACTGTTTGGCTCACCCACATGGATGGGATACAGATCTCGCAGGGGTGGCCGACCCCCAGCCCCCCCAGGTTGGCTTACCTTCTGAGCCTTGGGCATGTCGGTGTGGCGCTGGGCACGGACAGAGCGGGCTGACTTGGCAGGCTTGAGAGGCGCACAGTACATCTCCAGCCTCCTCAGATCACAGCTCCGGAAGCAGCATTCATCCACGATTCCTGTCTGAGGCGCCCTCCGACTGCTCGAGCCATACCCCGTGGGCTTGTCTGTTCCAATCAAACGCAGAGAGGCCTGGCTTTAGAGTGGGATAATATGCTATCTCCACAGTTCCACCCAGCCCCTGAAGACTCTTCTCTCCCCACACCTCGTCAACCCACACTTCTGTGAGTCAAACTTTTCTTGAAGCTCCTCCAACAATTCCTGACCCCCAAGATCTTTCTGGACTCCAGTATGTCTCCTGGAGTTGGTGCCACACTCGTTGGCAATACCTCACTCATCGTGCATTTATTTGTGTTAATTCTCCTCAAGTTCTTAGCCACCTGTAGTCAAGGATCTTGCCTATACCCAATCCTCACCTTTCCTTATATGTTGACTTAATTGGGAAGCTGCCAGGAATATTAATTAAAAGATAATTTTATGTTTTCTTAATCTTGTTAGCAAATCTGCATGGTTTTTGTTTGCAGCATGGCTCAGATGTTTGCTCTTTGGCTTAACTGCTTCTGTTATAACATCAGACTGAGAATTAAAGAGGTTTTAAGTCTGGAAAGTTCTCCTCACTTAACTGATGCAGAAACCGAGACTTGGAAACCGAAACTCAGAGTTGGGAATGACTTACTCAGGGTCGTTCATGCAGTAAGTGGTGGAGCCAGGATTCAAACTCAGGTCTACTCCTGGCAAAGCCCAAGTGCCTCATAGAGCCTGGGAGACCTGTTGTATGACTCCGGACAAGTCATTTAAGCTTCCTGGGCCTCAGTTTACCCATTTTTAAAGTGGGGTTAATAAGATTTTCCTTGTACTGATTGCTTGAGGATTATATGCCGTACTGTATGAAAAGTACTTAGCGTATCACCTGACACCTAGTAGGTCCTAAATAAATGTTGGTTTGTTTCCTCAGAACATCGCTTTCCAGGATCATATAGGGTCTGTGAAGAGACAGGCTCTCTATTGACTGCATCCAGAGCTTTGGAACTTGGAACTGATGACAATACCAATGTGATAGGGCTCCTTCTCCTATCACCCTAGAGAAACCAGAACCATCATTTCTGTTTTCTTATAGAATAACCACTAGACTGAGACAGAATGAATTAAATGTCCATTTTTCATTCTGATTGCCCAGAGGGAACACCAGGAATCAAATTTCTTTTGATATTTGCAAATCAATTAGGCCTCTTCACTTGGCAAGTAGGTTTTAGTTTGATTCTCTTTTGTTTTGTTTTGATTTGGACACACTTTTCTTGGCTCTAGAAGTAAAAAGGAGGCAAAACAAGTTTACATGGAACTTAAAACGTACTTGAATTCTTTGTAAACTTTTTGTCATAGTAGAACTTTTGTTACACCAAATCTTGCTTATATACCCGTATATAAAACAGACAAAAGTGAAACTGCTGTGGCTTGGGCAAGGGCAGGGGACTGGATCTTGGCTTTCTCTGTCTCCCTTACCTCCCTTGGGAGGTGGAGGGCCTCAGTCTTCTCCACTGATGTCCAAGCTTCATGGAAGAAAATTTGTGAACTATTGAGCCAGAAGGACCCAATTAATCAATGTGACATATGTTCAATTTAAATTCCTGACACAGAAGACAGCATTATATGTTAAATAAAAAGTCTTGCGTTCACATAATAATGATACTGTACTCTAGGATGGAGTTTTGAAAGTCAAAATCTCCATGTATATTTTGAACTCTCTAGCTGGGGGAGATCAGACCCATGGTCATGGCCTGCTACCAAACTAGTTTGGCTGCCTTGCGGCTCGAGGGGCCAGCTGTTCATGGCATCCTCTAAGAATCCAAATGTTTTCCTGATGCTTGGCACAGGAACCTGGGGATGCTTCCTCCCTGTAAGGCAGGTTTATTGTCATTCTTAGGGCAGCTAGGGGTAGAAACTTAGCAAGGGTTCAATTGTGGTCTCTTTGGGTGGGGTGTGCTGCTTTCGTTCAGGGCAAACCCTGTGGGTTCCTCATGGTTGAGGGATTTGGAAGGGACCGGGGAGCTGGTCCCGGTTGGAGCCTCAACGGTGCTTTCACTTGCCATTGGAGGATTAACCAGTGCAGAAGACTCTTTGCTTCTGCTCGCCAGCTGGGCCCTGGCAAGCCAGGACTTATCTGGTCCCTTGGGCAATGTAAACAATATTTTTTGTTTTTTTTGTTGTTTTTATAATCTTTTCCTGGAACTATAAATTAGAATAAAGACACAAATAGGCTTACATGGTTCTTTGTAATCCACAAAGGACTTCTGCATACTTTTTGCTAAGTGGCTATTTCAAGAGGCTGAAGGGGTCAGCCAGTGGAGAGTGGCTGATACACTTTGGTTTTCTCTTGGGGTGGGGAGAGAGGGGAAGGTGACTCAGCCTACTCTGAGGTAAGTGTCCCTGTCATCCACCGCAGGTAGTGATTGCTCTTTGCCAAAACGATGCATTTCTTAATGGGACATGATTGCGATTCATTTGTTGAATTTGGAATAGTAATTTGATGTTTGGAGGTAATGTGGCAGGAGTGGTTCCAGAAACCTTCACACTCGGCTAACTTAGAGACAACTAATTTCATCCTTATGGGTTGAAGATGGAGGGGGATAGGCTCTGTGATTCCAGGACCTATTTAGCACCTCTGTTTCAAGCATCTCTAAAGTAATCTTCCTTCTGAGACTCCACAGGTTCTGGAGCTTCGTGATTGCCACTGGAGAAGGACACTGACCTTCATCTCAGAACAGCATCAAACATTGTATGTGTACATATTCCCTTCTTGGTGACTGTCAAGAGCCATGAAACTCACCACAGGACTATTTCCTCTTGAGAGATAGAAAGTAATCATCAGCACAGCAAACAATAATAGCACACACCAGGCATCTGCTTTGTCACCTCTTAGATGAGCTCAGAGTTTGCCATGGTTCAGTCTATAAAATAGCTGTGCTTTTGTAGTCCATAGATCAATGACTTTAGGAACAGAGAAATTTAGGACTCTTCCATAATGCTCTAAAAAGAAAGTTTACCTTATGTCTATATCTGTTTTATTTTAATGTTGTCAAAATATTACAGACTTGGATTTTGCCAGAAATGTAACTACCACTTATTTCTAGCCACCACAATCCTAGGAAGATGTTTTTCTTTGTCTATTCATGATGTCTACAATGGACTAATTGTACTTCATTGAAAGTATAGGAGCATAACAAGTATTTACCTTGCCTTTTAAAGTTTAATTGATCCTTTGAAGTGTCTTATAGACTTGACTTCTGGTTCTACATAAAGATATTTAACAACAAAAAAAAGCATTTCTCACCAATTGAGAGGCCAGAGTTGAAGGTCAAAGTTTTTCCCTTTATCTTCAAATGCCTCATATTTCTTATTTTTCCAGAACCAAAATAAAGATATTTATTGCTATGGGCTAAAACTAGGAGCATGATGCAATGTGGTTTACCAGGAAAACAGTAAAATAATTTGCTACAGTATCAGTTTTGAGAAAAATAGGAATTTTTAATGACCTCAGAATTGCAGCTACTGTCATTATGAGTAATTTTTAAGTGAGATGGAGTGAACTGTTCCATCCTTGCCTTTAAAAACTCCTCATTAAGCACTAGGTAATTATGCTCCAGTGGGCAGAATCGGAGTTGGTAGGTGAAAAAGAAACAAATGTTGGACTAATATAAGCAAAAATTTCTAACAATGTGTTAAAAATGGGACTGACTTCTTTTAAATGTAATGAACTTCCCATTGCTGGAAGCAGTTAAGTAAAGGCCATATGAACACCTGTCAGAGATCCTAAGAACATATTCCTGTATCGAACACAGTGTCTGACTGCTATGGTCCTTTCTATTCCAAATATTCTGCAATAAGTAAAGAAATGGAGGGGAAAACTCACCTAGGCCAACCAAATATTCACTATGGTTGGAAACCACTTTTACACTGTCTCCAAGAAAGAAAACCAAATATTTTCTAACTTAGAAGGTTAAAATTTGTTTTCTGTTTATCACTTGAGTTCCCCAAGATGCTCAAAACATTTTTCTGTACTCAATTCTATGACAAAAGACAGGTGACTGGGATAGTCCTTTCTACAACTAGGTATAGCCCCAGAGTTCTGTCATACCAATTATGAAGTGTCCATATACTCACTCAGCTGTTAGGGTGAACAGGCATGGGTAGAATTTCACAGAATTTTCCTTGCTGACAAAGTCTTGACATTGGAAATTTATATATTTGTGTATTTATTTTTCAGTAGGTTTGCTCCAGAGCATGCAAACAAAAGATTGCTTAGCAGACAAGTTGGCTACCACCTAACCTAGGCCTTGAGTCCTCTATGAGCAGACATAAAGTGTCATCACAGTATCTTGAAAGTTGTACGGCTGTATCTTGAAAGTTGGCCAACAGACAGAGTTCCAATGATTAAACAGCTGGCTTCTATAATAATAGCACTTCCCTTTAAATAATGCATGGTCAGTGGAGTAATTCAATAATCTTCATGGCAAACTTGCTAGTTATAAGGGTTTGGGGCAGACTTTTGGCATCATCAAAACCATGCCAGTTAGCTGAGTCTCACATTTTGTCATGGATGCAAGCAACTTGCTTCCCTCCATCTCTGAAGGAGAAGGCATAATAATGAGATGTAACTGGGGTCATCACTTCTAGAGCAAAGAGCTCTGGTCATTCATCATTGGTAAATACGTACTACCTTTATTGGTGCTACATAAGCTTGTGTTTCTTTATAGATTTCTGGGGATACAGTGGGGACATTGTACTCAACTTTAATTTCCTTTGAAACTCCCCCTCTTGCTTATTGAGAAAGCTTTCCTTTAATTATTTTAACTCTATTGTTGGAAACAGGAGACATTGATTTGAAGAATCGGTATTTAAATAATAAAAGATGCAAACATTTTCCAAATAGGGAAATATCCAGTTCTGAAGATATACACTTGTTACTCTTTGCGTTCCAAGGACTAAAAGTTCTCTAGAAATTGCTAACGGGGGAGGTTCTAAAGTTGATCGTGTTTTGAAAGCAGGGAAAAAGAAGTAAGACGGTTCTAGTTGTATTTCCAGGGCTACTTCTAGAAAATTCACAATTATG